GTTCAGCTTGATGAACCTGGAAGGTATTAAAGAAAATCAAAATATAAAATATAATATGCAAAATGCAATGCACAATGGAGTCGAACTGCTAGCTACTTGAATTGAATCCAGACCAGAATCATTGTTACTAGAAAAAGATGTGTCACTTCCAACGGTTCCTCATTGTCCCGATATTGTATTTCAGCGACTGGTATCGTCCATTGTCTTCATTCTGTTCAAGCGAATAATTTAACATATTTAACAGTATTTAACCGAGATTATTCACCAACAGTCAACGATACCTACCAATTAACGTGTTTGGTAAGTCTTTATACTGATACCAAGTCTAGTAGCTTGTTTAGGACATCAGCTCCTCTTGTATGTAAGTAAATATGTACATGTATATCACAGTCGTAAGAAGAATTGGATTAACAATAATGAAATTTTTTGAAAATTTGTCTGTTCTTAAAAACGTAATAACCAAATAAAATTTCTTAAAGCAATGAGTATTCACCTACTGATAATAATGGAAATACCATTATAAACTTCATACACTTAATGAATTTTTACTTAACTGCCTCTACGTTATTAACGGCTCTATACAGATGTGCAGAAACGTAGTGGGACGTAACATTTTTCATTTTCCTTACTGTTTTGTCAGCAAGTCACAGTAGGTGATCTACTGCGAGTTATTAATCTAGCACCTCTTTCACAGACCTCACCAAATTAGAGGTCCCAGTGATGTTGGTAGTTGATTTTGATCTTCCAGGTTTTGGATACCAGTAACACCAGCCAGATAGAGTTTACCCAATATCCCAAACAGTGTCAAGACGACCAGAATGCCACCTACGTTCCGTTTCCCGGAGCTGCTGCCGTTTTATCTTACTCTGGTATTTATCATTTAGATGTTATCAAAACTTTTGCTACAATAAATGCCTTTTGATAAGCACATAATTCTCCAGAATTCCATTTGAGAGCAGAACATCATTAATTGATATTTTCATCTTTATAAAATGCTTCATTCCAAAAGTTTAATCAAATATATTACATGCCTTCATGGGGTCCAACATCTCAGGGAGTGTTAATCGGATATTGGAAATTTTACTAACTTTATTTATATTTTTAGCACCGTGTGGTAAGTATTGAAGTGAAGTGTTTAACCACAGAAAGTATTGTATCATATTTTTTGACTTTTTTTTTCTTAAGTTCAAACAATTGTTAAAGTATTTTTTTCATCAACAAAATATTACATGTAT